ACCATAAATTTATTTAAAGTGTAATTATATATATTTTTATTTTCTTATATAAATTAATATTTATATAAACTATTTTGTAACCTTTTACATTGTATATATTGTCAAAAGTATATCTATTACGTTGTTTAAAAAAACGATACATTGAAAACAGCCATTTTGATCAATACGTTTTGCTTGAGACTTAATGTTAGCGTACTTAATTTACTGAAAACGACGATCGACAATCATTGAATAAACGTATTGAAACATTAAATGCATTTAAGACCGTTCAGCAGGCAACTATAAAATGGTTACAAAACTGTTGCGTTCTATTAAACGCACCCAATGAGTAAAAAAATCTTTATGAATATTCATTGAATTTAAATAAGAAAGAGTCATTTTAGCCACAATAATTAAACTTTTTAAAAACATAAATTATTAATGTTTCAAAAATAAATATATCTTACATTTTTCAGTGAAATGTGGACAAGAGTGGCAAGAAATAATGCGCTTTTGCGTTATTTTTGCAATTATTTTCCGTTAAAATTAGTGAAAACAGTAGATCTAGATCCTAAAAAATCCTATCTTTTTGTTTGTGAACCTCATGGTATTTTTTCGTGTGGAATATTTGGTTCATTTGGAACAGACGTATTGAATTGTAAGAATCTATTTCCTGGACTAGAAATCCATATAATTACTCTGGATCAATACTTCAAAGTACCTATATTGAGAGAATGTTTTTATTCTTTAGGTAAAAATTTAAATATATTTCTCGCCTTTCATTAAAATTTTCTCGCTTAATTGCGGATAAATTTTGCAATGTACTATAAATACTCTTTTAATATTTAAATGTAAATATATTATAATTATAGTAAGTAGATAAAAATTATATAAATGCATTGATATATTAATTGCATTCTGTAGATTGTCAAATTTTATATCTTTGTTAAATTCTTTAACATGATTAGTCTTGCTCTTACTTTGTTAGTTTCTCTCACTGAATAAAAATCCAATTACATTAAAAAATTTTACAACAGGTACGAAGCTACTTTTTTGCTGAATGTAACTATTGGAACATTACATATTGTTTCTTGTTTACAAAGAAAATTGTTTCAATTAATTTTTTCATATAAAAAGTATTATTATTATACTGGTTTGCACATATAATATGTATGCTTTAAAAAGGATGAAAATTATATATATATTTTTGTGTGTGTGTGATACATAAACATATATATATAATTATCAAAAATTGTATATACTATATATATACAATATAACTATATATAAATAGTACATATTATATATATACTATATATATACTATGATATATATACTATATATATATATAGTATTTATAATTTTATATATATATTGTATATATAATTTTTAATAATTAATTAAAAAGAAATTTTTTTTTAAATCAATGAAGACCACTTAGAACGTTAAATTTTTCTGTAATTTGATTATAACGATAAGTTATCGGACACTTTTAGGTGCTTGTTCTTCTAGCTTAAGAAGTATCAAATATTTATTATCAAAACCACCAAAAAATCCATATACCGGAAGAATTACAGTTCTTGTGGTCGGTGGTGTTGCTGAAATGTTGGAATCAATGCCGGGCACATATCGTGTCATTATAAAAAGAAGAAAAGGATTTGTGAAACTAGCACTTAAATACGGGTGAGTTATATACTTTTTAATTATTAATATCGTTTCTTTACTTACAATATGACTAAAAAATGTAATTTTTAAGTTATTATGAGTAAGTCAAAAATAAACATTAGGGTAAAACCGCCTAAAAGTGCGCTCAAGATTTCGCACTGAGCTATATACAACGAAAATATTCGATTGTAGAAACTGTATTTCACAAAGAATGCCTTTTTGGTTTACTGTTCTGTGTTAAAAAAATCGTTGTGATCGTTTCAGTTAAAAAGAAAATATTTTTAATATTGTAATTTTGATCATTTTCACATTTAGGTATTACATACGTAGTATATAAATTCACACGAAAATGATAATAGATGCATTCAATATCCAGTTTGACTGTAAATGGCTTATTTTCATCGGTATTTGATCATTTTCTTTCTATATCTGTCAAGGATGAATTAATCGATTTCTACGCGTTAAATCGTTGCTTACTCATGAATCCGTACTATTTATATTGTGCGCATACATGTTCTGCTTCGTATTTAGTGATATATTCACTTAATATCCGTAATTATTTTACATAGTTATATTAAAAACAAAAAGTGAAGGTCGCAAACTAATGCAAACTCTTGAGAAGACACTAAAAAGTTCGCATTTTTCTTTTCTTAATAAAATTAATCTCCTGTAAAAAGACGAGTCATAGTATTACATTGATACTTGGAAAATATTTAGTTTAAAGTGTAAAGAATAATCTAAACACCACTTTACTGTGCGAACTGAGATCCTTATACAGGTTATATAGTTTCAAAGAAAAAGTACGCACTCTTGGACGGTTTTACACCAAACCCTATCTATCATACAATATTAAAAGTGAAATAATTTAATTACTTATAAAAAATCGTTAGAACTCAAAATGGACGGTTTTGTAAAAATTGCGAAATAAAAGTGACAAAAATGTAATATTTGATTACGTTATATGCATATATTTTCGATACTGTGTGAGATTAGTCAATTTTCTATCAAGTTAAAAAACATTTTTTTTCTTGTCGCTTTTTAGATAAGGATGCTATTTATACGTAATTTCTAACTATGACATACCAGTAATATTTCTATGTCAGCGTTTATCATAAATCATATTTCTAAAAAATTGTTTTGCAATCTGTGCGTAAATCTTTACGTAATATACAGGGTGGTCCACTTAAATCAAACTTTTTGAATACTTCGTTTATTTTTGATAATACGAAAAATTGTTTCTAATAAAAATGGAACGGTGTCGATGGGGACTCGTTTTAGTCACGTTGTTTTTTTTCTAAGTGGAGGGGCTAAAAAGGTATCAATATCATCTCCACTTTTTTAAATGGAATTATGTAATTTTTTTTAGATAATATGATTCCTCTAATTGTTTTGCATATAAAAGTATTAAAGTAGAGATATCAAAAATCTAATAGTTTACGAGATATTTTATACTTTATTCTGACAAAAAATTTATTTAAGGAGTTGCTCAAAATGATCCTCTCGGACTTCATTACATTTTTGGAGAAGATATTTAAATGATTCTCTTGCCCTCTCTGTCATTTCTGAATTTATACTTGCACATGTAGCCAAAATACGCACTTTCGTGTTCTCCTATGTAGTTGGTACATCGTTATAAACGATATTTTTTAATGTTCCCCATATAAAGAAGTCCAGAAAATTTAAATCAGGAGAACGTACAGGCCAATTGATGTGTCCTCCTCTACCCATCCAGCGTTCTAGAAGTGTTTATACAAACTAAAAAAATCGACCTCCTTTGCAAAATAATGAAGCAGCAGAAGTTGCTGTTTTAGCTGCAGTTGCACATAATCCACATATTAGTTCTCGATAAATACAATGGAATTCTAGTATTTCAGAGACAAGTATTTTACGCATTCTGAAACGCCACTCATTTTATCCGTACCACATTTCATAAATGAAAGTGCGTATTTTGGCTGCGTGTGCAAGTATAAATTCAGAAATGACAAAGAGGGCAAGAGAATCATTTAAATATCGTCTCTAAGGTGTATTGAAGTCCGAGGACATCGTTTTGAGCATCTCCTCAAATAATTTTTTTGTCAGAATAAAGTATAAAATATCTCTTAAACTAATGGTTTATTGGTATCTCTACATAAATACTTTTATATGCAAAATAATTAGAGGAATGATATTATCTAAAAAAAATTACACAATTCCATTTAAAAAAGTGGAGATGATATCCTTAATACCATTTAAACATGACTAAAACGTGTCCCTCTCGACACCATTCCATTTTCATTTAGAACATTTTTCCATATTATCAAAAATAAACGAAATATCGAAGATCTCTCTTCGATTTGAGTGGACCACCCTCTATAGAAAGTTATATCATAAAATGTAAAACGTAAATAAAATTATAGGAAAATCTAAAACATAAAAAAAGAAAAAAACGATAATTACGTATAATATAATTATGTTCAGCAATTATGATCAATACAATTCAAAATCTAATATATAACTCTATGATTTAGTACGGCGTTGGTTCCTGTCCTCTCTTTTGGCGAAACAGATTTATACAATCAATACAGCCCAGAAGGATCGACTTTCAGACGCATACAAAACTATATTCGCAGTTTCATTGGGTTACCACCCCTTGTTATTTCGGGTAGAGGATTCTTTCAGTATTCATTTGGCCTTATTCCGAAGAGATTACCGGTTACCGTAGTTGGTAAAATTTTTTTTATGTACTAACAAATAAATATTTATTTATAATAAAATTTATTAGTTATTAATAGTGGTTATTATTTACTAGTTATTAATAAATAATTTTTAATTTTATGTTTCTTTTTATTTTAGTTGGTAGTCCCATCGAAATACCCAAAATAGAGGATCCCACGTCTGAAGAGATTAATAAATATCACAATGAATTCATAGAACATTTAATTAAATTCTTCAATACACAAAAGCATAATTACATCAAAAATGCAGAAAATGTTACTCTCGAACTCTTATAAAATATTTAATTATAACTTATTAATGATATTCAATAAGCGATTATATATTAATATGGTATTTAATAAACTGCAATGTTAACACTAAAAAAAATTTGTGTAAACAGAACGTTTATTCAAACATGTTGAATGACAAGACAGTTCTGATAATCAAATATAATAGAGGCTCATCAACTTTTTATCCTATACACATAAATTTACATGACAATATATTGGTTTATGCTTCATATATAATCTGAAAGACTCCATTCAATTGTTAAATAATTAATAATAAACTCCGCGTTATATATTAGAATGAGTCTTAACGTCGAATTTTGACTAAACGTTTTAGAGTTTCGTTCATGGACAACCGTCCATCTGTCCGTGCGCGTGTGAATGAATAACCACTTGTGTACTCCGTCGGACATGCTTTCTCCTCATGCTATCGACGATACAACAGTAAGACACATGACGCAGTGCTAAACGTTCCGTGTGGAAATCGTCGCAAGAATAAATATATTTACACACGGCGCATACATGTGGTCGTCGTATTGCGTGAAAACGTACTATTTCATCTGTGGAAGACGATAGTCTGACTTGGTGATATACTAAAAGAAAAGCTACAATCCATAAAATACATAAATAGAGTAGAAATGAAAAGATAATGATAGAAACGATTTCAAAAATTAAATAAACAATTAATTTGCGACTCTATGTTAATAAAGTTATTAAAAATAGTATATATAAAGATATAAATTCGTTCCTTGTTGAAATCAAAGATAGACTTTGTGCGTCCGCTTGATAGTGTCAATTCATATTGAAACCACTATCAGCTAAAGCGATGCACAATCGGTATTATAAAAAAATAACTTAGATTCCAACAATGTAAGATTAACTCAATTTTTTTTTATTTTTCTAATTCTAAAAATTTGGTTAAGATTATAGTAAGTTAAACTGAGAAATAAAGTTAAAAGTCTAGATCAATTAATTTTTTTTAGAAATTGTAAGGTATATTTTATTTTTTCTCTGTGATTATATATAGTAAAACCGCACCTTATCCTTGCAACCCATACACGTAACTAAACGAAAAACTGGTTTTCTCCGGTGATTTGAATTTTGAACGAAGATTTAGTGAGAAACATGGAAATTCTGGGCGTGAAATTTGCACCGTTAAATGTACCGCTGGAAAGAAGATTACAAACGTTGGCTGTTGCGATATGCGTTTTTGTACTCCCTTTAGTGAGTGTTTGGGGATATCTAATTACGGTTTACCTTATATTCTACACAGAAACGCTACGTTATTTCCTGTTATTATATTTTCTCTGGATTTATTACGATTGGGACACTTGTCATAGTGGTGGTAGAAGGTAAGAATTCTGTTAACCTTTTTTTTTTAGTAATCGGTAAAAAGAAAAAATTTTGACAACACTTAAAGACAATTACTTAATCCAACAAAGTAAATAAATGTATTCAGCCGAACGCAACTCTTGCGCAACGGTTTACTGATAAGTTGCAACATTTGAGTGTTCTGCTGAACGCTCTTTTGATATTAACGCTAAAACGCATATTTATTACTAAAAGTTAAAAAAAAAATTAGATAAAATAGCAACCATAATACTACCTCAAATTTATCTAAATTATAATTATAACCTCAAATTTATCTGAATTATAATTATATATATTTTTATTTTCGTATATATCAATATTTATATAAACTATTTTGTAACCTTTTATATTCTATATATTTTCAAAAGTATATTACGTTGTTTAAAAAAACGATACATTGAAAACAGCCATTTTGATCAATACGATTTGCTTGAGACTTAATGTTAGCGTACTTTTAATTTGCTGGAAATTATGACAATCATTGAATAAACGTGTTGAAACATTAAATGCATTTAAGACTGTTCAGCAGGCAATTATAAAATGGTTACAAAACTGTTGCGTTCTATTAAACGCACCCAATGAGTAAAAAAATCTTTGAATATTCATTGAATTTAAATAAGAAAAAGTCATTTTAGCCACAATAATTAAACTTTTTAAAAACATAAATTATTAATGTTTAAAAAATGACTATATTTTACATTTTTCAGTGAAATGTGGACAAGAATGGCAAGAAATAATGCGTTTTGGCGTTATTTTTGCAATTATTTTCCGTTAAAATTAGTGAAAACAGTAGATCTAGATCCCAAAAAATCGTATCTTTTTATTGGTGTACCGCATGGCATTTTATCGATTGGAATATTTGGTTCATTTGGAACAGACATATTGAACTGTAAGAAGCTATTTCCTGGACTAGAAATCCGTCCAATTACTCTCGATCAACACTTCAAAACACCTATATTCAGAGAATATCCTTATTCTTTAGGTAAAAATTTAATTATATTTCTCGTCATTCATTAAATTTTTCTCGCTTAATTGCGAATAAATTTTGCAATGTACAATAAATACTCTTTTGATATTTAAATGTAAATATATTATAATTATAGGAAGTAGATAAAAATTATATATATGCATAGATTTATTAATTGCACTCAGTAGATAATCAAATTTTGTAACTTTGTTAAATTCTTTAATATGATTGGTCTTGCCCTTACTTTGTTAGTTTCTCACTAAATAAAAATCCAATTATATTAAAAAATTTTACAACAATTACGAAGCTACTTTTCTACTGAATGTAGCCATTGTAACATTACATATTTTCTTGTTTACAGAGAAAATTGCTTCAAATAATTTTTTCATATAAAAAAGTATTGTTTTTATACTGGTTTGCATATATATACATATATATAGTATATATGTATGATTTTTGATAATTGATTTAAAAAAGAATTTTTTTTTTAAATCAATGAATACCACTTAGAATGTTATATTTTCTGTAATTGTTAGTTATAACGTTAAATTATCGAATACTTATAGGTACTTGTGCTTCTAGCTTGAAAAGTATCAAGTATTTATTATCAACACCACCAAAAAATCCATATACCGGAAGAATTACAGTTCTTGTTGTCGGTGGTGCTTCTGAATCGATGGAATCAAAGCCGGGTACATATCGTATCATTATAAAAAGAAGAAAAGGATTTGTAAAACTAGCTCTAAAGTACGGGTGAGTTATATACTTTTTAGATATTAATATCGTTTCTTTACTTACAAAATGACTAAAAAATGTAATTTTTAAGTTATTATAAGTAAATAAAAAATAAACATTATGGTAAGACCGCCTAAAAGTGCGCATCGCTCAAAAGTTCGCATTGAGCTTTACGATACGACGAAATATAGTAAGAACTGTTTTGAGATAATGGAGCTATATTTTTAACTATGACATAAGTAATATTTCTATGACAGCGTTTATCTCAAATCACATTTCTAAAAAATTGTTTTGCAATCTGCTGATAGTATAGTTTTTTTTTGCCTTAAGCAAAATTATATCTCAAAAAAAATTGTTTTGCATTCTGTGCGTAAATCTTTACGTAATATACAGTTCGATTTAAGTGGACCACCCTGTATAGATAGTTATCTTATAAAATGTAAATCATCAATAAAAATATAGGATAATATAAAACACAAAAAAAGAAATAACCGATAATTACGTATGATATAATTATGTACAGCAATCATATTCAATACACAATTCAAAATCTAATATAACTCTATGATTCAGTACGGCGTTGGTTCCTGTCTTCTCTTTTGGCGAAACAGATTTATACAATCAAATATACAGCCCAGAAGGATCGACTTTCAGACGCATACAAAACTATATTCGCAATCTCATTGGATTAGCACCCGTTGTTTTTTCGGGCAGAGGATTCTTTCAGTATTCATTTGGTCTTATTCCGAAGCGATTACCTGTCACCGTAGTGGGTAAAGTTCTCTTTATATATGTATATATGTATATATATATATATATTCGATTTTATTCATTGGTGCAACGCAAATTATTATACACTACTCAATAAAATCTAGTGATTACTTTTGCTTCAACGTTCAATAACTCGGCGAAAAGAAATCGTACAACGTTCAATAAAAAAACAAATTAAAGGTAAAGATTTACCCTTTTGATTTTTGCGAATCGCATTTTCGGGTCATTTTTACTTCACGCCATAGACCTTTGTAAATTTTGTGAAAAATTTTTAGATTTGACGGATATCCATTTGTGTCCGTAGAACACCGTAAAGTATTAGTCATATTGAAATTTCAATTATAGATTTCGAAAGTAGAGATTTCATCCTTTAAAATGCTTTTTTAATTTTTTGTCTGCGATGATTTTTCAACGAGTTACGGTATTCCGAATATTACTCAATTTTTAGCGTGTTTAAAAGTGTTCCCATTTTGTTGAGTAGTGTATATGTAATATAATATTAATTATATATAATATTAATGTGCACGTTAAATTGCTAATTATCTAATGTTTTTAATTCTATATTCAAATATATTTAAATATTTTTCTTTATTATAGTTGGAAGTCCAATTGAACTACCGAAAATAGCTGAACCTACAATTGAACAAATCAACGAATATCACGAAAAATTTATGAAAAGTTTAGTTGAACTCTTTGAAACGCAAAAATATAATTATATAAAAAATGCGGAGAATATTACTCTCGAACTATGATATTTATTCGATTGCAAGTTTTATATAATATAAAATGTGAAGTTGTGCTGGTTTCAAACATCCATTAAAAAGATCGTTATCTATTTTAAAGACGTAGAAAGAGGATTCTAATTAAGAGATGTTAATTGTACAATCAGTACAATGTTAAATATTATTAATTTGATATTAATTTACTTACAAACGCACACATTTTTAATACTTAGATTGAAAGCAAAGTCAGAACTTAAAAAGACGCAAAAAATACATTAACAGAATTTAATTATATGCCGATTTCTATATTACATACATGTAAAATATGTATCCTTACATTTTTTTTCTTGTCGCTTTTTAGATAAGGATGCTATTTATACGTAATTTCTAACTATGACATACCAGTAATATTTCTATGTCAGCGTTTATCATAAATCATATTTCTAAAAAATTGTTTTGCAATCTGTGCGTAAATCTTTACGTAATATACAGGGTGGTCCACTTAAATCAAACTTTTTGAATACTTCGTTTATTTTTGATAATACGAAAAATTGTTTCTAATAAAAATGGAACGGTGTCGATGGGG